TAGAGAGGATGGAGAGAGCAGAAGAGAACGCCTCTCTTGTATTGATTTATTCATCTCACCCACGGTTATATATATATATATATATAATGAGACATTTAGTTCAGTTGTGAAGGCACCCACTATTCGATGCATTCTGGTTCTATCATCTATGTTTAATTGGAAACTCCATCCATTTGATGTGAAAAATGCATTTCTTCATGGCGATTTGAAAGAAAAAGTGTATATGCAACAATCCAAAGGATTTGAAGATACCTCACGACCACATCATGTCTACAAATTAAAAAAGGCAATTTATAAACTCGAGCCAGCTCCTCAAGTATGGTTTGAGAACTTCAACTATCAACTTCATAGTATTGGTTATAAATAAGCAAGATTAATTACTCATTATTTTAAAAAAGATCATATTCAAGTATTATCCTCCTCCTAATTATGTGGATGACGTCATTGTTACTAGAAATGATCTTAAAAGCATTGAACATCTTAAGACATCATTGAAATTGAACTTTGAGATGAAGGATCTTGGAGAACTGAAATATTTTTTGGGTATTGAAATTCATCAATCAGATTGTGCTTAGCCAACATAAGTATATTTTTTATTTTCTCTCTAAAGCAAAGATGTTGGGAAGCAAGCCTATTTCCACCCCAGCTGAAATAAATAAGAAGTTACGGATTGAAGAAGGGGTGTTGTTACCTAATCCTTCATTGTACAAAAGTGTCGTCGGTAATCTTAAATATCTCACATTCACTCGTTTTGATATTGCTTACGCAGTGAATACAGTATGTCAATTTATGCAAGCACCCCGACAACCTCATTGGGAAGCCACTAAAAGGATTTTGAGGTATTTAAAGAGTTATATACATAATGGCTTATTTTATACTTCATCTAGTTCACCTGATCTCAAAACGTACTATGATGCAGATTGGGCAGGGTGCCTTAATGATTATAGGTCCATTACAAGATTTTGTATCTTTTTGAGAAATAGTCTCATTTCTTGAAGTAGCAAAAAGCAGGCTTCAGTATCAAAATCTAGTATTGAGTCAGAATATAGAGCAATGAGTATTATCGAGGCAGAAATTACTTGGTTTTGCATGTTTCTTAAGGAAATTGGTGTTTCCACAATTAAACCAACCATTATAGCATGTGATAATCAAAGTACTATGCGACTAGCCACAAATCCTATATTACATGGTCGTACTAAACACATGGAAGTTGATTATCACTTCATTCGAGAAAAAGTTGCATCTGGTGCTATTTTCATGACCTTTGTTCCTTCGTCCCACCAACTGGCATACATGTTACTAAAGCTCTGACAAGACTTAGACACCATGAGTCCAAATACAAACTCTCAATGCATGATGCATGCTCGGGCTATACATAAATTCCGATATACTATTTGTTCTATCGAGGGTCTTACCCTAATTGAGATAATAAGTTTCATATTTTTTCTCGCTACTTTTAAATATGTCTTTTTAGGCTTACCCCTATGTCATTTTTTAGCTCTATTACAACGTTATATAAAAAATTAAAAAAAATATCAAATCTCCTATATACTCTAAGTTGGCTAGGTGATTTTCAAATCTATAATGAAAAGGCTAAACATGTAATACAGGTCCACTATCACCCATTCTCCGGTAAAAATGTCATCGCCGAATCAAAAAAGACCGAAATCAGAAAAAGAAACGAAAAGTTAACGAAAGAAGCGGGCGGAGAAGGAGACAAGCCGTTAAACGTCGAGCATGTCGCGTGCCCGAAAAGGATCACGGGGAAGCACGCGCGCACTTCCAGGCAACCGGGGCCCACAGCTGAAACAGGAATACGTGGCTTCCTTTAAATATGACACGTGGCGATACCTGCGTGATACGGGGGAGCAGCATGCGTCTCTCAGTGTCCAACCGAGGAGACTAGCTGACCACGGGTTAATTATTAACCAGAGTCTCTGGTTATGCTCTTAACCATGGTAAGAAATTAATCGCCGATATTTCCAATTGAGCTTGCCGAGTTTTACTGGTGGTGTTTCATGGGTTCGAGTCCTGTTTCTGAATTATTTCTTTGTTTGTTATATCGAAATTAAAAGGATCCAAAAAAAATCGAAGGACGAGGTAGAGAAACGATGTTTGTGCCCTCTATCTTTATCGGTGGAACATATCTTCCATCCATAAAAATATATTGGATCGCTAGATCGGTGATTCACATCAGGTCCAAATCGGTCGGAATCAGTGAAAATATTGAAAAACAAATAAAGTAAAATAAAAATTAAAATAGGGGTTTATTCGATTGAGAATTTAGAAGGGACTTAAAAAAAACATTAGATAAGCTTTAAAGCAAAAAAAAAAAATATACATAGGGGTCCATGGGGAAACGGGTTGAGACCCATATCATCCCATAACTAGTTTAGTCTTGACAGATTTCTAACCATAAAAAAAGAAAAAAGAAAAAACAAAAGAGGCTATTTTGCTATGCAGTTCCTCATCGTTTCCGTTGTTTTTGTGGGCATGTTTGTAATTTAATGGATTTCTCCTAATTTCTTATTATTTTTAATATTTAATAGTAGCATTTTTTAGAAATTTACCAAAAATACACGCAAGAGTTGAACTACTTGCCAATTTATCCTAGGTGTAATTTGATAAAGATATTTGAAATTCGATAAAAAAAATTATGGGTGAGATGTTAATAGTTTAGATCTTAACCCTAGATTATACAGTGGATTAGAGTGAAATATCAACTAACATTTGAAAATGCAAATATAGGTTGGAATAATAATGAAGTTCAGTTCAACCTTAATCAAGCTTTCATAATCTTGGTTTGGTCGTTAGGGCACAAGGACTTCAACACAAAGTCCACTGTTGGGGGGCCTAACTAACCGACCAAATGAAATTAAAATGTAAACCAAAAACAAGTTCTTATTTATGGCTGAATCTATTTGAACTTCTCAAGAATTTTGCGTATTGGGGTTGTGTTCATTGTTTGTTCAAAGAATCCAATCCTGTCTCAAAAACAGGGGGCTTTTTGGATGACTTGAGCATGACAACAAAGTTTGCCAAACTACAAGATTTTTCTCTTTCCTTCGACAATGTTATCAATAAATCACAATAATTTTATCATAATGGTCGTGTGTTCCTTAAAATAGAAAAATCCTTCCAAACAAGGTCTCGTGTTCTTATTATTGTTATTATTATTCAAAGTTATCCGTATCTTTAATTACAAATTACTTTGGATTAACGTAAATTTACTATTGACATGGAGATCATGAATATGAAAAATAAATAAAATAAAAAACTAGAAATAATAATTATATTAAAAAAACATTTGGGCCGTTAGTTATAATTGTTTTTAGATGGACCACGTATTTGCATCCATCTATGCTTTATACTTTTGGACTGCGTATTGTAGAAATGCGGTTCAGCCCGCATAAAACAATTTTCATTTAAAAATTGCGTGAAATTTGTATGAGAAAGTAGTTCATGCGTTAGGGGACACACTTCTACAACATCACGCTAAGCATCCACATGATGTCCTATCTAAATTTTAAATCAATGATTTCAAAGTTTTATTTTCAAACCTAATGTATTTGTTCAAATTCGTAGTTGAGATTTTCATTTCTAAAAATTTTGAATCCAAGAGGACGCATTTTAATAAATGAGTCGAACGACTCATAGAAACCTTGTCCAATTTGTATTGTATGCAATTTATATGTAACTTAATATCTATTCTAGGTTGATCTTGGGTTATCTTTTTCGTTGGCCCTAATTTTGAGGATTGGGGGGTTAAGTTCGGGTTTGATATATTAAATAAGATTATTATGCACTTTTGCTCAGAGACATACCCCAGTAGAAAGATTTATCATGCAATTTTTAAGAGCCGTTGCAGCGGCGGTATCATGAATAATCTTGGTTTGTAATTTATAGATGTAGTCACATATGTGATAAACCACATAAATTCAATGTGTTATTTTATTATTATCTTCAATTGCTCCGTATTTTGATCCTTAGTCATAATTTTATCGTAATTTTTCATATTTTCATGGGGTTTTTTAACCGTTTTAACACACCGTACACTTTGCATCACAAACAACAAAATTTTAATAGAATTTTAAGGCAAGGTAGATAATGGGGTGGAGATCTTTTTTAACGAATCGGGAGCAGGAACACCTAAAATCGACTAGAATAAATAAATAAATAAGATATGGACTTTACAATAAATAAAATAAATTATTGAGGGATATTAATATATATAAAAGAAAAATAATTTGATACGGCTGCAACCTTTGAAAACCTCACCTTATAACTCATCAAAATTTACAATTTAAACATTGAAAAATCTTTACATGGATAACCTCATAAAAGTAGAGTCGTAAAAAAAAAAAAAAATTCAAACTCTAAAAGTAATATATTGTAAAAAATGATCTAAACCATTTATTTTACCTTCAAAATAAGTATTCACATATCTATAGCATTTTAATGACATTCAAATTTTATTGTAGATGTTGGAAATAGATTTTATATTATATTTATGTTGCGAAGGTGCTTTCCGGGTGAAGATTTGAGATGAGAATTTATTTTGTTTTGTTAAAGCCCAAGCCTTATAAACTTCATCCAGTATAAAATAATGTAATAATGAAATAAACTTAGAAAAAGGAGGATACAAAAAAAGGTTATTTCAAGACAAGGAATCATGGAATCTGCGTGTTTTAGCGAGAGAAACCTGAAAAACGGATCATACAAATCTGGTGAACAGAGACGTCCCATGCTTTCCTGATATATCAATGATTAAGCTTTTCAAAATTTCAGTGAGTTTCAGTATATTTCGACGAAATTTTATCGCCCTAAACTATCCGAAAACCCACGCAAAGCATCGTCAAATTTGTCCGCTTACGTTGGCTGCTCCACACTTACCGCGAGATTTGGCGAAAATCGGTGAAAATTTGACGGTGAAATTTTTGTTTTCTACACGTGCATAAAAAACCCTTGCCAATATTTCGAAAACCGAAATTTCGGATGCGCACGTCGATCGTGTCCCTTGCGTGAGCAGGCCGAACTCGTCGCGTAAAAAGGTTTAGTTTTTTGAGGTGTGAGGTGGAATCTCGCTGCTGTTTTATTTCAGTTCGTACTCTCTCTCTCTAGAATACCATTTCTCTCTCTCTCTCTCCTCTTCTTCTTCTTGTGAGCTTTCTGGTTTTTCCTGCCTTTGGTTAGTGGCTTTTTCTGGTGTGATTTTGGCTTTGTTTTGTTGCGTTTTCAATCCTTGTGTTATGTCATAGTTTCTGTAACTCTAGCGCCTGTTTTCCGGTCTATTAATGGCTATTCCGGCGAAAATTTGTTACTTCTGATCTGGGTTTTCCTTATTTTGTAAGACTTCCGACCTGTGATGGGTTTTTCCGGCGAAGAATGATATGTTCATTTTCCCTTATGTGTCTTGTTTCTTTGCTGTGTTTTGAACTCTTTTATTGTATGTCGTTACTCTGACTGTCGTGGTCAGTTTCCGGGCCACTAAAGACTGGAGGTTTGACAGCTTCCGGTCGTTTACTGGTTTTCCGGCCAATAAGAGCAGTGGATCCTTAACCTGGGTTTAATTACTTGTTCTGTACTTCTCGACTCTGAGAAAATTTGGGTTTTCTCTCTGGTTTTTTAATCCATGAAATTCCGAGTCTGGGTTTCTTCGTTAACATGTTTGTTATGTTTTATTCTTCTCTCTCCAATCATTCTTATTTCATTTGAAAATTTTAATCCCCTCTCATCTTCTTAGGCTCTTTAAACTCGCAAGCTAGAATTTTCAGTTACTATATGTTCGCCTTTTCCTCTGATTCTGATTACCCAAGTGCATTTTCCGTTGATATTCACTGCCAACCTGAATTTTCCGGTGACCCACTTATTTTTCCGGCTGTTAAGGTAAATTGCCAACCCCCAACATGAGCGAAGAAGGAGAAATGAATCCTAATCAGAATGCACCTCCATTTCTTCAAATGATGCTAGAAAATGGCAAAATTTCTCAGAGAAATGGAGTCGAAAAGGAAGAGAGAGAAAGTTTTAGGGTTTTGGAGGAGGGGAGGCTTGGGCCCAAAACCAGGGAGACGGAGCTTCGACTGGGTCCTCCTGGTGATTACCAGGCCCTCAATTGTCCATCTCCAGTTTCCAAGAATGGCAGTTTTTGTGGAGCAAAACGTGGTTTTCAAGACACTGTAGCATCAAAACCAGCAACTAGCGAGAGAAACCAAAAGCTTTCAGGCGAAGAAGCAGGGCTACTTCGGCAACAGCCAGCTTTCTCTCTCTACCAAAAATCACTTCACCAAAAAACCCCAACTTTTCTTCTATCAAAACAGGCCTCGCCATCGACTCTAGTGAGAGAAACAGCAAGCGCAAAAATGGAAACACAAAAGAGAGATGAGAGAGAAACTGTTCTATCTGCTCCATCCAATCTCAAGAAACCAAGTATGGGGAGCTCTGAAGAGAGGTAAAATAAATTTAAATAAAAATAAGATAATAATTTCCACCTTTTTAACTATTTATGGTAACTGCAAATTTCAGGTTTTGTGGATATAAGTGGTTTAACATCAACTTAAACCCAATCTTTTACTGTTCTTCTTTCTTGGGTATGGTTTCTATAAGGTTGGTTTCTATAAGGTTGCAACCTTAGAACAATCCAATTACGGCGCACCTACAAACTTTATCATGTGATGTAATTTTGGCGTAAAAAATTTTTATTATCTCAAAACCTATTTTCATATCTTCATTATAAAATTTTAAACTTCAAAAATATTTAAAATCAAGTAGATTTATAAATATATGAAAATCTTGAAAATAGATTATTTGGATAAAGCGTTGAAAGATGCACTATTTTTAAGATTCAATCTTTTTTTTTTCAATATTCAATATTAATTCAGGGGTTTTTCAATATTAAAACAACCTTTTCCTATTGATGTTTTTGGTAGATCTTTAATTCAACTTTATACAAAGTTTTTCCTTTTTCTAATCACGGTAAATTATTGTACGCCAGTGGACTATTATTCCATGGTTTCGAGTTTGGTATTTTTTTTTTTTTAAAGCTGCCGCGGGTCTATACTATACGTTATCTCCTCTTGCAGTAGGAAGGCTTCTTGGGAGAATTTTTTTTTAATCAAGCACTTTGTGGTATATGTGGATATATATGTTTCAATTGGTCCCAGCTTATTTTACACACTAATTGGCACCCAGTTTGGTGCAAAAAAACTCGCCCATGCCTAAAATTTTGGGATATACATTAGTATTTGGGATATACATTAGTATTATCATATGATTTTCCATGGAAAAATTTGGATGTTGAGTTCTTAAAACTCCTAAATCTTGCCCTCGAATTTGGACTTATTTTGTTTAGTGTTAATTTATTTGAATTTTTTTTTTTTTCCTTTGATGTTGGTTGGTGGATTCTAAAACTTAGATCGTCCAAATTTGGGTACCAAAAAGCACCCCTCCCTCTAACCCGAGGGAGCAAATTGACAGTACGCTCTCGAGGGAGCAGAAAATCATTTAGCTTTTTTTTTAAGTTTACGAAGCAGTTTCTATGGAGTGTTTTAATTCATTGTGGCGAAATGACTGAACTACCCCCATGTCGCGGAACTTGACGGCATTGAAATGGCTGAAGAACTTTTCCCCAAGGACGTCTTCGTCCTGAATATTTCGAAAGGACGCAAATGGCTATAGAATTGGGCTTTATTTGTACGGGTGTTAATCGGGTACCCAAACCGGGTCTTGGTCCGGTTTCTGCTGCACCACTTGATGGGACGGGTTTAGTGTCAACCCAACCCATATTGGAGCCGAGTTTTTATCCAGCTTGGACCCTATTCGGTCGGGTTAGGGTACCCAACTTGGTATGTATAAGTATAAAATATGTACCTATATATTATAATATAAAATAAAGTTTTATTTTTAGACCCATGCTCGACCCGACTTGTTGGATCCGGTTCGAAATGACTTGACCCAACCCGAACCCTGGCCCAAGTTAGACCGGTTCCGACCCGATCCGTTGCTTTGTGCCCCATTCACTCTCAAGGACTTGCGATTTTCAAATCCTGTCGTTATCTAGACCACTTTTTTTATTTCTTTTCCACAGTTTTTTTTTTCTTTTCTTTGTCTTTTGACTTGCTGGGAATTGGAATGGTGAGTGCACAAGTGGGCACCCCCGTTTTCAAAAACTGATGTCAACTAGGATAGGTAAATTCTTATTTTGGAGCAAAAGATAAATATATTATTATTTTTTATTTTTTATAGAGAACTATCAATTAAATGATCTAACCACTTTACAAATTTGATTTACAAATTCATCGAGGAGGTCAAATGATCCTATTTAAGTTTCATTTGAATGGGTTATCTTGAAGAAATTAAAAAATAACCATATTACCCCTATAAATCACTGTCATTTCCTCTTTTCCTTTTATCTACAAATCACTACTATTTGGATTATTTGAGAATTTGATAACTTCGGCATAACAAATATGGAGAAAGTTTATATAGCACCTAAAAAATCAAGTAGAAAAAAGTTTATCTATAAATCACTACTATTTGGATTATTTGAGAATTTGATAACTTCGGCATAACAAATATGGAGAAAGTTTATATAGCACCTAAAAAATCAAGTAGAAAAAAGTGCTTAGAAGCTTGAAAACATTTCTATTGATCATCTTGACCTTGTGATGTATTTATATAAAAAAAGAAAAAGGAACCTAAAAGTAGTGCCTCTTGTGACAAGTTATCTGGATCATTTATGTTCAAGCGTTTATAGATATGTTTCATTTAAATATTTTTTATAATTTTATATTTTATGATTATGGTTAAATAATCCTAAGGGTTCTGACATGAAAACTACATCTTCTTTGTAAAATTTAGAGGTGAGCCTTGTATAATATATAGGGTGGCTACCTTATACAAACCTCACCCAACAAAGATTAGATTTTTTCATTAATAGTAAATCCTCTACCTATTTAGTGATTTATAGGGGCAATTTGGGTATTTTTTATTTTTTTCGATGAAGTATCTTGTTGAAATGAGAACTAAAAATCAGCATTTGCCTTGTTAAATAAGATCACTTGACCACCTTAACGATCATCTAAGATAGTTTACCTTATTTGTAAGTGTACTATTTAAATTAATTCCCAATTGATTTCCAATTTCCACACTAACAAAGTCCCCACATGAACTCGTTACGACGATAATCCTCTTTGAATTTTCAACAAGATGAACTTCTTACAACTATAATTCTCTTTTGAATTTTCTAGAATTAGATATGCTAGAATATGCATTCATGCATTTGTGCAACGTTTAACTACTTGGCCGAGTTATTCATACTCAGCCCCTTGCTAGCTAAGTACTTTGGTGCAACTCAGGTCCCTTGAATAATTTAAAAAAATTGTAAAGAAATGTATAAAAATTTAGGATCATCATCGCCATCCGATGCTAGTAATCTCGCTTTCTCATAAAATTTCAGGGCTGGCCGAGTGGTGGGGTGGCCTCCCATTCGCTCCTTTCGCAAGAACCTCACAAGTACTTCTTCAAAACCTCAACCACAGCCCATCAATGAGCCCATCAATGGCTCCTCTGAAAACCTTGAAAAACAAGAGGCTCCCAAGAAAGGAATGTTTGTGAAGATAAACATGGATGGAATACCAATTGGAAGGAAGGTGGATCTCAATGCGTATAGGAGCTATGAAAAGCTCTCCGGTGCAGTCGATGAACTCTTTAGAGGCCTCTTAGCAGGTTCCGGACTGCTAATCCTTTCTTTTGTAGTAAAAAATGGCTGCCCATTACAATTTTGAGCTGCTCAATATGATTGATGAAATGGGTTTTTGTTCTTCTTCTTTATTCGTTTTGGTGTTTCAGCTCAGAGTGATTCTAGTGCTTCTTCAACTCAGAGTGGAATTGGAGAAAAACTTAGAGGTTTATTGGATGGAAGTGGAGAATACACATTAGTTTATGAAGACAATGAAGGAGACAGAATGCTTGTTGGAGATGTTCCATGGGAGTAAGTTTTCTATAAATTTCAATACTGATTTCGAAGTTTCGGCATAATTCTGAACATTCTCTCTCTCAATCTTATAGTAATGCAATTATGATTTGTAAGAGAGGTCATAATAGCTCTTCTTTTTCGGAAACTTGCAGGATGTTTGTGAGCACTGTGAAGAGGCTTCGTGTTTTAAAGAGTTCCGAACTTTCTGGTTTGTGCAGTGAGTATTTCTGTTATCCCCTTCATCTCTGCATTTGAAACTTAAGCACTGATTTTTCTCCTCTCTCATTCTTAAGAGGACCAGCAATGACATGCAGGGCTGTAAATGGGCGTGGATCCAACCTTATTGAGTCCAACTTGGACACGGACCCGATCCAGACCTGGATTGGTTGGACTTGGCCCCTAACCGGGTCGGGTCTATGTCAAATGGACTGGGAGCCAATCGACCTAACCCACCAGGTCCATTTCAAGGGTCCAAATTCAGACCCAGTTCTGGTCGGCCTGATACAATTGAGACCCGTAGCGACATGGGTCTTATGTGATTGTGCCTTGTGTGAAAGAGAGATTTGAACTTTTGATAAATGACTGTTTTCTTTTCTTTATATGGGACAGCATATTGGTGAGAATATGAGTAATTGTTATTCATAAATGATGTGATGGCAGTTACAAGTGGTCGACAGGAAGCATCATCAGCAACTGAAGATTGTTTGGTAGTGAAATGAAGAAGAAGAGGCCAGCCTTCTTGTTTTATGTTTCTGAGGTAGTTACCTCTCACCTCGTTTCTTTTGGAATCCTTCTCTTTTTAGGTACTCTTGGCACACAAGGTCTCATAACTTTTGAAAATCTCTCTCTCTCTCTCTACAGGTCTCTCTCTCTATAGGTCTCTCTCTCAAAGAGTTATGGCTTGGACTTGCTGTTCTCTCTCTAGATAGTCATTTGTACTTGGACTTAGCTGTTCTCTCTTTTAGGTAAAATCTGCTAAGACAATGTCTCTCTCTCCACAAGAGTAATGGACTTGGACTTACCATTCCTGTCTATTCCTGTTCTAGTAGTTGGTTGGGCAAAGCTCTAAAGCTCTCTCTTTATACAAGAGTTATGGACATGGACTTAGCTATTCCTTTTTAAGTAGTTTGTCGGGCATACGTCTAAAACACGTACGTACTCTCTTCTCCAATGTTGTCAGATTCGTTTCGCTTCAGCCGAAGTCTTCGGATTTTCGGCCTAGACCGAAGCGAAGCAAAGCTCTAGTGCATCCCCTTTGGTCTGCTTTTGGGGCCGGTTTGGCCCACCTCGGTTTGATTCGCTGAAACACAAAAATGTCTATTACAAAGGCAATTCTGTGCTTTGGCCTGCATCGGTATGATTCGACCTCTTCAGTTGAAGCTTCGGCCCCTTCAGTCGAAGCATAGAATTGTCTTTTTTTTATTGAATTTTTTATTTTTAAATTTGTTATTATTTTTATATATTAATACATACTTTATTAACATTAATTTTTTTAAAATATTTTAAAGTCTTTCTCCGAATCTGAATCGGCCGAAGCAACTGAATTGTTTCATTTTTCCTACCAAACCAAAAAAGACTCCAAAATGAATATGGCAAAACTACTCTTCTCTCTCTGTTCATAGCTTTTTGGTCTTTGCAGGTGTATATGCGGGAGAAAATTGAACAGAAAAATTGAGAAATGGGGAAAGACGGAGTGGTGGCAAAAGAGTAGCAGGATTATGATTTTGGGTTCTTTATTGCTTTTTCCAAATAGTTTGTCTCTCTATACCTTTGGGCAAAGTTCTCCAGCGATGGGTATATGGAGTTGTGTTTAAACTTGGTGTTGTTCTTCATCTTAATATTCGGTTTTGTCTTTGTGAATATGGTGACAAAAGGAATGATGTGAGACTCGTATGGAATAATGAAGGGATGGTTGGCTTTTCCATCTGCGCTTTTTGGTATGGGGTTGATTGGGTTGGCATCCTTCCAAATTCAGTGTCTTTAATCAGTGCCTGAAATACACATATTTCTTGGATACTACTGCGTAGATCATCATGGCGATATAATACATTGACGTTACTGACATTTTATACCCCGAACCCGGACTCAACCCAAAACAACAAAAATAATGCTAAAATATTTCTAAATATTTTGTTAAATCTATACAAATATTATTATTAAAATATATAGTATATTAATTTAAATATTATGTATTAAGTACTATTTAAATACTAACACTATCAGTTCGGGTCTACATGGATCAAGATCTAGACTAGAATAGTGTTTGGGTCTAAATCTTGGACTTGGAGTCAACCCGATGGGTTCAATTTTTGGACCCAGACCCAGAACCAAGTCAAGTCCGGGTCCATTGCCACCCCTAGATCTTGTAAGCCCATTTGCTTGATAAGGTTATAATTATCCTTTAACCTTTCAGTGTTTTAAAACCCGGTGTTTGGATGGCATTTGGTCAGATTAATGAATCTAAGATGGTACTACTTTTGGTCTGGTTCCCTTAAAAAATCTTACCTTATATATATATATATATATATATATATATATATATATATATTATTGGTAGACACTATCTATAGTGTAGTTGAGANACGACACGTATACTACGTTATT